TTCAGTTCTTTGTTTTGTTCTTCTTCCTCTGTTTTTGTTAGAGAGATAAAGAGAGAGAAGTCTTGATTTTTAGTGAGAGAGGAAATGAAAAAGTGAGTGAGGGAGAGTTGTAAGCAAAGAGTAATTATGGTTCGAGTGATGGAGAAAGAAGACAAAGACAAAAAAGTTTAGTTTATGTTTATTGTAACGGCTAGTTTTTACTTCTTGGTCTGCGCCAAAAAACAAAACGGTAAGCGAGAGAAACATGACCAACGGCTATAAAGTTATTTCGACCGTTTTTAATAATTAATTCATTATGATTAACCAAAGTCTTGATTGTACAGTATTCCAATCTCACTAATCTAGATTCTCTCTGTTCTATGATCAGACAAAAAAATATTATTTTCCCTGAAGTGGTCCTAATCTTGACACTTTTTGCCACGTCAGTCGCACACTAGAGAGATACATAAATCTTTTAGGCAAAACGTACGTCACCTAGACAAACTCAAACACTAAGAATTTACGAAACATATGTTAAAGAAGATGAAAAAGGATAAATATATAATACAATTATATATCATCATCATAGAGGAGGTACAGTTGTTGTAGCGGTCATTATTTACACAAACGCAAAGACGTTTTGGAGGGTGTGTTTGAATCCATACATTTTAGTAGTACACAAAAGTATGCAACAATTCTTATGGACAAAAACACTGCAGCTCGTGTTACTACTACTTAACCAATAATGAATTAAGCTTTTCTATTTCGGCATCGGTTTAACATTCAAGAATCTGCCGCCTGCCTTAGAACCGTTTTCTCAGGGGGGCATGCGCGTAAGAGTGTGCAGATGTCGTTTTTCACTAGGAACTCCTCTGCATTCACGAGGATCAGAGGTCCATACTCAAACACCAACTTCTTGCACTGTAATAACAAAGACACAACACCGTAAAATGAGAAAAGCCTAAGCTAGCAACTATGATCATGATGTTGCCTTGCACAAGTTTGAGAAGAACACCAACACACATAGAAAGAAACGA